TGATCGACAATGATCGACAAAAGCTGGCACAGAATTTTTTTGTGCAAAACTCTTTCTTCCATTTTAATAAATAGTTTAAGAAAGCCTTTTCTTTATATAGTTAACAATTTATTAATAATATTAATAAAACTAAAATATTCAACTATTTAAAATACTAGTTTAAATAACACTTTTTTCACATTTTAAAGAATTTTTATCTACTAGTTATAAATTCAAAAAATTACACAATTTATAAAAATGATATTATAAAACTTTTAAACAATTTAATTACTATATTCTTACCTGTACAGACTCTAAATATTCTTATTTTTAATTTAATAAAATATTAAAAGAAAAAGAAAAAAAACAAACACAAATCAACAAAATGTTATTAAACAACAGCTATAACATAATTCATTTAGACTTATAAAACATTTTTTTGATAAATTATATAAAAAATATTTTAAAATAGTTAAATTATAAAATCAACTCTATCTTAATCCATTTGTTTTCTACATCAAAGAAAAATATAAAACTACTTATTAAAAACAGATAGCTACTACTATTTTTAACAAACTTGTAATAAAAGCAGAAGAATATACTTGTTCTGCCAACTTTGTTAAAATCAACTTAAAATGTTATAGCTTTTATTTTTACCAATATCTAATTATTTAATTATTTATCAAAACATTGCTGCTCAAAATTATAATATAGATAAAATAGACAAATAACAAGCAATTGACTTTTTTATATATATAATTAAAGTTTTTAATTGTACATATGATAATTTATCTAATTACTCTAAAATTACTAAATTTTACTAAAAAAAGATTCTTTCAAAAGTAAAAAAATACTATATGACAAATTCAATATTAAATTTAAAATTTTTATCTTTATTAAAGAGTCAATCTTCTTAAAAAAGAGAAAGAGGCTTTTTTTCACTAAAATTATTTTCTACAAAACCTATAAATACAGCTACCACCTTATTAAAAGAGATAACTGTAGTATTTGGTAAAGAAAATAATATAAATAACTAGACAAAAAGCCTATTTATATAGGTAACTAAGAAAATAATAATCAAACTTATATACAAAGCAGACTATAGAACTCTTTGTAGCTGTAAGAGCTGAGCTTTAAATAATAAGTACCTCAGTAAAAGACAACTTATTAAAATTAATTACAATATTTTTAAAACTCTTGATTTAAATACATGCTACTGTCGTCTCAGAAATCGGCGAGTCTGTCGCTAAACTATTCTAACTCTCGTGTAACCTATGGCAGTTCTATTCTAATTTTTATTTTCTTTCTTGTCTCAACTGGGATTTTACTATGTCGAATCGGGGTTGGAACTCTTCTCTGTCGTTCGTTACGGTTTACTGGGCACATAACTAGATGAGTGATCAATTATGGGTTTAGTTTATTATTGGGTTAATGGGTATTGTTAGAGATGAGATTTATGATAATAACTGGTTATAAGGCAACACTTTCACTTGTACTATGGGTCGGATAGTTAGGTTATATTTCACAATTGTAATCACTGGCCTTTTGGCCTGGTTGAATTTCCCTTTATTTATAATAAATGTTCTTGTCTATTTACATTATGAGATTGTCTAATATGTCAAACATATCTAATATGTCGTATATATCTAATTTATCATATATATCACATTTATTTAATATATCACACTTATGCGATATAACAGATATATCAGATATATTAGACATATTCAATATATATGACATACCTGACATTTCTGACATTCGGGATCTTCGTCATGTGCACTGGTCACGTTTTCGGGTCTCACACTACAATCTATTTTTATACAAAAATAACTTATTATTTCTTTATTATCTACAAATACGTATTATACACATTTATCCAATATTTAAAATATTATAACTTCATCAAATCATTCAAAATATCTATAAATCTTTTTATACAGAAATTTATATTTATACTAATTACAATAAATATTAATAAATAAAAAGTTTACAACTATATCAAATATCAAATAACTACAGTAACTAATAATAAATACAAAAAACTAATCCTTTAAAAATCTAAACTAGTAACTATTTGATCAATTAAAGACTAAACAATCTATACTACTAAAACAGCAATACATTACATATACACTTGTATAATAATTTACTTTTTAACTATATCTTACTTATTTATCTTTAATACTATAAATATTATTAACTATCTTTAAAATTCTCTGTTAACTTTTTTATTAATAACTTTCAAATCAAACTTAATATTACAATATACAATGTTCAAGAATACAATATATAGAAAAAATAACTACTATAAAAAGATTATTGTTTAACTCATAATTTTTATATAATCAATCTTACTAAAACAAAAATTTCTAAAAATATAAAGACCAAATTTTAAAACATATCTTACTATTTATATTTTTGGTTTAACACTATAGAATCTAAAGAAATAACATTTTTAATAATTAGAAACAACATCCAATCTCATATATATAATGTACTTATATAATCTGATAGTACTATTGTTATAAATTTATTTTTTAAACATAGTTATAAATTTAGAATTATTGAGAATGGTGATTCTAATATAGTGGTTGAATTGTTATTTTTCAAGCAGTAGATCCAAAATTCAAATTTCATTGGTGATAGAAATTTAAAAAATAATCCTATTCTAGTAACTTGTATGAAATATTTGGAATTATAACTTTGGTTGTACCAAGACTAACTTTGGGAGTTTACAATATTATACAAATAAATTCTAAAAGTATATACTCTATAAGAAGTTCTGTTTAGAAATTCTGAGTAAAAAGATAGTACTATCTTCTATAGTACTATCTAGAAAAATCTTGTGCTGAAGATAAAAACCTGAAACAGATAACCTGTACAAACTAAATTATCTTGATTTAGTATTTGTAAGTCTAATTTTTATAATTTTTTATTAATTATAACTGGTATTTTATATTTTAGTTTAAATAAGTTTTTTTCTTTTGATTACTAATATAAATCATGTCAGTTTAGGTCACAGATAAACTAGTATGGGCTCTTATTCTTGCATATAATTTTTATTTTGTTACAAACAACCTTAGTTTATTTTAGTACTCTTGTACTAAAATATACAATTAAAATTATTAATAAAGATATGAGCAAGGCCTCACCTTAACACCAAAAAAAAACTAATATAAACCATGACTCTAAGTACATAATAGATAGTAGACATTAAAATGTCAATGTTTTCTTATTTTTTAAGATGAGAGTAAACTTTAACAATACTTAAATAATAACAAGAAATAATAAGATTTATTATTCTATAAATTGATTTATACAAAATAACTGAATAATTACTTTTATTAAATCTTCAAACAAATAGTAGTTTAACTATATTTTTTTAATATAAAAAATAATTAAGAAACTAATATCATAGATACAATTTACTTCCCTTGTAGAGTAACCTTTTTGCAATAAAAATAAAAAGTTAACACTTTAGACTAAACTTGTTTATTTCTTTTTTTTAAAAACTTAATTATAAATAAGATTCACCATTGTATAAAGATGTAAAACATTAATAAAATTTACTTTTATATAATTATTTGTACTGTACATAAACATCATTTTGATCTTTATAGAAAATTATTAAAAGTAATGCATCATGTGTTTTGTAATATACAAGCAATTATTTTTGCATTAGCAATAATAACAGTTACTAAAATTTTAATATTAAAAAAAAGTAACTATTTAGAAATAAAAAATAAAAGATTCATCTAGAATTGCATGAAATAATGTGACCTAACTAATTTTTTATTTTGCTCCATTACTTATGATCACCACTATATATATTTAATTACTATATCGTAAATATATCATATATCATAACCAATTAAATAATAAATAATTATTAAAAATTATATATATATATTTTTATTATAATATATTGATATTTATCATAATTAATTAAATAATACGTAATTATTAAAAATTTGCGCTGTGACTATTTCAAAGTATCACCAAACATATTTTATAAAAGGTACATTTGCACAAACGGCTATCATTTTATAATATTTTGATGAATTGAATTGGTTAATTGATTAAATTATTTAATAAAAAATGCCAAAAATCACTATAAATTTGTAACACATTAAGGGATAAGGTATTAGATACTAAATTAATATTGCAACTTTTAAGATAGTCAAAAAGAACAATTTTGAGATACAGGGGCTTTTAATCTGCACATAAATCTTTGTTACATTAGTAAACCTGATTCTGGAATGCAGACTTTAACTTGGCCCTATCTTTACAAATCGCATTTACTTAATACACTGACCATTTGAACAAGTGAGATGATCCTGAACGCGCCATATAAAGAATAAATTAGTAAGATTGAGGATGTTGACATTAACAAGATTGTATATTAAGAAGGAATATTACCCCAAGGCAGTAGTAGTTGCTATTACAGAAAGTAACACACGGAGAATCACTGCCCGGAGAACAAATCGGAGAACATTCATCTCTGGAAGTGCAGACATAACCCTGGAAAACATGTAATAACATGTTAATATTTGTAACAATTATTGCGCACAAACTGGAAAAGTTGTCTTACGTCTGGGCAGCCCAAGCGTATACAAAAACGAGTGAATCGCTATTAAAGAGAAGATGTGTCAGTTATATTATTCAGTTTACAGTTTCTCAAAGAAAGGATTAGTAATTACACGAGCAAGTCTAATGTCTCCCCGAGTCATTGCTGGTGATGCATTAATCGTAATGCATTGAGAAAAGAGGACGACAATAGCAAGGAATATCGAGAGATTCAAGGATTTCATTGTAATGCAGGATTTTGAAAAGCAGTAAACTCCACAAAGGCGAGAACCCCAATATTTATAGTGGTTAAAATTATAAGTGGAGTGCCATTTTTCACATGTGGGTGGATTAATATCAGGTCTAAATGATTATATATTAAGCCACCAATAGTCGTTATTTTTTTTCATATTGAAAAATTCTTTCTTTCACACATGCATTTGCGATAAGACATGCAAAAATTAAACCTTGAAAAGGTTATCCCTTAAACCGTTTTCCAAGCAAATTTGTATGAAAATTTCATGATTAATCTGTGATTAAGCTATCAAATTATATTGAAATGTAGTCTAAATCGTAGTAATACGTAGCTAAATTGACAATTTAAGGGATAGGAGGAAATAGCTCGGCAATCACCACCAATTTCCATATTAGGTTATGGGAAGTCGAGATTGCAGAGATCGTCATTGCGTTAACAAACTTCCGTTTTGCAGGAGCGATCTCGAAACTAAAGGGGTTTTATCATGCGTCTATGACTTAATGCTCTACATATTCGCAGGCCTTGGCGTTTGATTGCACATAATAACATTTTCTACAGAGGTTAAATCATAGCAGATTTTATTTCTGCATACCAGGAACGGAGCAATGAAATCACGAAGTGTATGGTTTACTGATGGAATAAATTATGTGAATCCGCAAAATCTTTTATCCGATTGGTCAGCGCGACCTTATCTGTCTCGTGCTGCTTATTTGACATCTGCAGTTGTCGCTTGTTATAAACTCTTTAGTCGTTCTGAATTTTTGGAGACAAACAGTGGTCATCTTTTTAACTTAATGATGATATCTAATGATATCTAATTACTCGCAAACATATGTAACTATAATTAAAGAATTCTACACCATTTCTCGTTTTATATCAAAATAAACATAGTTATAACTAGCAAATAACCCGTGGCGAATTGACCGAGAATTAATTTCTTAAATAAACAAATCAAATGATAAGAGTTCAAAAAATGTTATTTAACGACAATGTAACGAACTTAGTGAGATTATATTAAACATATTAATTAATTCCAATTAAATAGCTTATCATAATATGCTTATTTATTAATTAAAAATTAAAAAGTGTAGTATTTATGAATGTCTATTTAGGGAGGGTTATTTAAAACGTGAATAAATATATTAAGATTGTGTGAAGTATATAATCATTAAGTTTAATAGTTTATCTTAAATATATTAGTAACAAATGTTTAATATCATTTTAAGTATATATGTATGTATGTATTTATATATATAATAGTAAAATGTGGTACATTTTATTTGAATTTAATCGGAAGTAAATAAAACGTTACATGTCAGAACTTCTTCGAACATTTAACGTAGCATGACATGAATTATGCCACAATTGTCGGTAATAATCAAGCCAAATTTAGTGCATGATTACTCTCAATTTAGATTAGGGAAGTTTTGTTTAAATTAGACGGCTAAATTGTCTCCTAGTTAGAGTTCCAATCCGGATAAATCCGTCATCTATTTATCATATCCAAATTTATCTGGATGTCTATTTACTATTATAGCTGTTCTCATAAATTCTGGGACAATCGATAAAAATTGATCGGCCGGATTCGATAAGTTTTTGAATTCGGTGTTATCGAATTACTGTAATGCCGAAAATCCAATTCCGATAACACCGAATCCAAAAACTTATCGAATTCGGCAGATCAAATTTTTATCAGTTGTCCCAGAATTTATGAGAACAGCTGTAAGTGAAATAGGGTTTGAAATTTTGTGGTTTAATGAGTCCCGCGCGGGATTTTGGAGAAACCGCAATTTTCTCATTCTAGGTACTATATATCCAGTGAAATACATGAAATTCATGTTACTAAAACTTATGTGAAATTACATGTATTATAAATTTGTAAAATGTAATTCTCAAACCTTAAACAAGTAAAAAATTAAACTCCGGCCAAAATTATGTATAATGTGGCCAAAATTTTGTCGATTACAGCCGTTGGAAAATCAAAAATGAGGTTCAACGACGCGGCACCTAGATTTAATGAATCCCGCGCGGGATTTTTTGAAAAACCGCGATTTGCCCATCTCTACGCATAACCAAAACGATCTAACAAAATTGAATAATGGTAAAATAACTAGTACATAAAGACGTATCTAACTTATTGACGATACAATTAATCGTCCCTTGTGCCTTTATTAGGATTTTTTTTTAACATGCTAATGTTCATCACAATTGAGCAACAGTTTGACACTCAAATATGTATTTACTTGTGATTAAGTCGGACATCCAACGATCATAGGTTAAACTAGTTATACGCACATACATACAAAATTAGCTAAACAAATGCAAATCACCTAATTTTACAATTAAGCTAGTACATACTGACATATCTGAATGTGCCCTTCAAATTACTATGATTAGCAAATTTTATGGGAATCAGACATCTGGAAAATGCTAGTATATGATTGGATAAAATTTATTTTCTTGATTTTTTAGGCAATCACATAAACAGGAGAATCCCACACACAGTGTGATCAATTAAACCTAAAATTATTTAAAATTATTTATTTTAGTTTTAATTGATCACACAGTGTGTGGGATTCACCTTGGATCGGGACGTTTCCTCCTCTAAATCACATCGATATTTGCGTGTTTTTTCTAGATCCTTGATTCCCATTGTGATACATGACCTTTGCTGATCATATTAATTTGAAAAGCACAATGAATTGAAACGTCCATTGTGTCTTTAATAGGATTCTTTTTAAAATTATACCATGCTCGACACAATCAAGCGAAAAGTTGACACTCAAATACGTACTTACATATTTGTCAACCGATTATAAGTTAATATACTTAATATTCAATATTTAAAAATGTTTACATATAACTAAAATTTCGTACTGAAAGCTTTCTGTTCAACATAACCTGTACATGCGTACAGTAGTCGTTAATTACCTAACATTTTACTATCGGTATGATTTACCGGCATGATTTACTGATAGTTCAACTCACTGATTTTATTTCCCTTTCACTAATAACTTTTTTTTTTTTTTTTTGACAACAATTCTTGTAACAGCTAGTTTATCAACATCTATTTTGTCATTAACTAACTACTAAAGTCAATATTCATAATCGGTGGCTTTAATAAAATCACCGACAGGCATTTTGCCATTAGCCAACACCAACTATAAAGCCGACCACCCAATCTAAGTTGATCAAGTTTGTCAACAAAGTAGTTGCAGTAAATAAATGTCAGTAAAATTCCGTAATTTAGGACATCTATAAATTAAACTATTGAAGAAAAAGCCTATCAGTACATTAGTGTTAGTGAATAAGGTGCGGTAATTGAATTGTTGCTTTGCATCACATGATTATACAATAATTGTCCAATTTTAGTGGGCTTGTAATACAGAAACTACGTTATTTTATCATGCAAGAGCACTTTATTCATTGTTTATTAAAAAAGAAGGTTCGAATTAAAATTTCTTATCACCAATACGTATCAAAGTGGTATTAAATGATTAGATGTCTACATTTACGTATCTGTTAATCTTTATTATTATTATTATCATATATATGTTTGAGCTTCAGATTAGTGCTTGCCTCAAATGTCGAATTGGCTAATTAAAATTAGGATAACCAGGAACGGAATGCAACGAAGTGCTTGGTTATCAGAGGTCAACAAATACTTTCTTCTGATTGGTGTCCTTTCACATGACATGGTATTTATCCGGTTTTGTTTGCAGTTTAGTTACAAGGGCGTAAGCCTCGTTTTTTTAATGATTTTACCTATTTTGACCGTGAGCATATATCGATGTATGTTTTCTAAAAAAAAAGAGTAGCTTAACCAGATTTGGTTATATAATTTTTCTAAAGAAAGAAAAAATAATTATATGCGGTTAAAATCGATTAATACGTACGTATCACCCAATTCTATCATATTTTTTTGCTTATTTTGGATAATACTTTAAAAATGTAACAGTCACTTACCATTTTTACTTAAAATAGATCGCTTGTAATGATTTGCTATGTTAACCTAATTATACCAGGAGCGGAGTGACAAGTGAAAGGGTGTATCCGAATTCATGTATCTGATTGGATGATTCATCCTCGAGATTTTTGTACATCGATTATCGTTACACCAATTTGTGCTTTTATGTTTGTGCTTATCGTTATACCCGTATTATGTACTATTCACATAAACTTTTCTATTTATATATCGATTCCAGCATGAGCTTTTCCACTTTTGGTAAACTAGTTCGAACATAAAAAAAAAAAAGGTTCTTGTTATAACTGTTTACTTTATTAATGTCATAAAATTATAGCAGGAACATGTGAATAATGATAAAATTGCAAATCTTAAACATTTGTAAGTGACCCGATTTGCAAAATTATGAGAAATTTGCATTTATTGTTGTAAAAATTTGATTGAATATTTTAATGCACAACTCCTATTTTTACAAATATATTACAAAATGATAAATATGCACTTTTATTTCTATAAAAAAGAATATCAAATTTTTACAAAATAATAAATGCGCAAATTTTATCTAATCTGAAAGTCAAAAGAAATTGGAAATCAAATAATTACTTTTTTTGCTGCTATTGATAGTATGAAACGCAGATTTTAAAATTAACCAACCAATGCAACTTATAAAAAAGTTGGGTATAGTTACAAGTTCTTTTTAATTTAAGCTAAACTCATTAAGAGAAACATTGCAGATAATATATATAGATCTAATAATAACAAAATTTCATAAAAAATGTCACTATTAGCGATTCATTTCAAAGAGAATTGTTGAATAAATAGAAGCAAATTTTATTTCTCGGCATGATGATCCTTGGCATGCCATTGAGTCTAAAAGCATACCATTAATAACAATAAATAAAAACGCAATCTGTATTCTTTGATCTTTAGAAAAAAAAAACTTTTTAAACAATTAAATTAATACAAATAAACAATGTGATTATGACGTGCATGTAGCATGAAATTCAGAACTTAGCATGCCATCTGGCATGTCAGATTTTTTTTTTATCATACTAAGAACCCTGATGTTAATATGAATTTCACTCTGAAATCTACCTTCCGTTCCTGGTTTTGCGTGACAGCGTCGCGCAGCTACCTTATAGAGAAAGAGTTTGGGAATGATTAGGATATCATTTAGGCCAATCAATGTCGGTCAGTTAATGCTGGTTAAAATAAATCGACATCTGAGGCACAATATATGTAACTATATGCAGTAAAATCTAAATTATTAAACGGTATTATAAAGTGTGATCTGCAAATTATGAGAAACAGTAATGGAGAAAATTATTCGTGATGTTATATTTTAATTTAACATTACACCGGATTTACTAAAATGTACAAATGGTGTTGAACACCATAGTTGCTATATCTCAAAAACTACTATCTAACACCTTCCGAGGTACTAAGTAAAAATGTTCAGAACTCCAAAAACCTTACGCTAACTGAAACTTAGACATTTATATCTAATGCCTATCTTACTTTGTAACTGCACTCTAACCCTAAATTTTAACAAAAAACTTATTAACACCA